AGAGAGAGAGAGAAAGAGAGAGAGGGACAGAGAGAGAGGGGGGGGGAGAGAGAAAGATCACCCCCCATACACATGTACACACACACACACACACACACACACACACACACACACATTCGCGTTTAGTATAAACATGACGTCATCTAAAATTGCGTTAGAACACTCAGTCGAATAAGTAAGAATTTTCAATTAGTGAACGTAAACTTAAATGGACACCTACCGTATTCTCCACTTCCCACTCCAACACAACTAGTCTCTTATGATCAATGTGTGTGATACTTCAAACAGATTCCACTAGGAGCATCATACGTGTATTGCGAGCTGGAAAAATACGTGCACTATAGTTCTCATTGAACGATCGAATGCTTGATTTTATTGTGCGAGCATCAAAGTATCACTTTTCAAATGCTCAGGCACACTATTTATACATAATTTGCAGGTTTATATGAGAATGGCATAAGAGTTTGTGTCTTTAATCACGCGGTAGTCGATTCGGTGCTCGATAATATTGGGAACAATGACACATTCATTCACTTCGACAAAATTGTCCCAAGGATCGAATCGATCCACGCGTTCATAACGATTGACCAGGAAAAGGCAACCCGCAACATATTACATGTATTACTTTCTTTTTATTTTTGTTGCCTTTGTTTGATTTTTAACGGCCCACTAGTCACGAACATGCGGTTTCCATGACGAAGAACGAAAGAAAGGGGGAAAGGAAAAGACAGGCGACACGTAGAACTATGGTTCTTTTACCTATTGTTGTCCCAGAGTTTGTTTGTTTGGTTTTGCTTGTTTGTTTGTTTGGGTTTTTTTTGGACAAATATGTTAACCCCTTTACAACCTCATTGGATCGACGCTGGAAGTAAAAGTCCAGTCCTGCGTCTCAAGAATTTCACTTTTTAGAGTACAAGACATGGCTGCGTGTCCTTATCTGTCTTATTGGCCTGTCTTATTATTCATAAGATAAATTAGTTTAAACCCTTTTCCTACTCAAAGCTGCACACCCAGTTATCAAATAGCATAAACTTTTCAACATCCTCAATTTTATATCATCCACCCTCACATGTCAATTTTCCCCAGTTCACCTCCTATTTCGCC